ACTAGCCGGTAAACTTAGTTCTGCTGCTTATGCAATTTATAAAATAAGACGGCTTACAGATGTCGACACTGCTAGAACAATATACTTCAGCTACATTCACACACATCAACACATGTTTTCAATTTTTGATGTCATCTTTCAATTGACGACACTGTATGAAACAAAACAGGGAGAAAAAAATAGCCCTTGCTGAGTTTCTTTCCGGTTCTTCTCAGTACAACATCTCCCGACGTAGATTTACGAACCGATGGTGTAGGGTTTGACTTTCATAAGAGATTGTAACAGCCTAGACTGAATAAATGACTTTTAGTTTGAGTTTATGTTACAAGGGTGACAAACAAGGGCGTGACCCACCTGATGGTAAGCGGTGATACCAAAAATATCACCAGCACCTTTGACCCAATCCCCTACCCCGGGGAGCCCTGGTACCATACTCATCGACAGAAACACAACGCCATCATAAGGTAACGTTGTTTTACTGTATTCTTCTGTAATGTGGAGGTAAGTTCCCCAGGCGGACCCTCTAATTCTAGCGGGAAACCCCTCTCTTTAAAACTCTTCTAAAAGAGAGTGGAGAGCTGCTATAGTGGAATGGGGCTATTTACTATTCATCATCATCAGCCAATGTCAATAATAATTACCACTGCAGGGGCAAAGTACAACATTACCTTGGTACAGTAGGGCGATTCTGTAAAATGAAATCTCACTTCCGATTTCAGTAGCTGCCATTTTAGATATTAGTTTGTTATGCATTAAGCCATTACACGGCTAAATGTCGCTATGTTTGTACAAGCGGTCAATATTAGAAATTTGACATTTGTCAGAAATCCGATTATATGAGATCGTAAGTGAGATTGCATCTTACAGAATTCCTGTGCAGGTCTTCCCTATGGATGGAATATGTGTAAAGTACAGACTATGACCCACCACGCAGGCCCAGTGCACATTGGTGGGGGCTTAGAGATCAACGAGTTTTTGAGCCTACCGAAGACCTGGAGAAGCTTACGATAGTGAACTTTTGATCATCCGTCCAATGACCGGCTATTGCGAAAATTGCTTGACTTTGCTTGCCACTTGCGTCCTCAAACATATTAATTATAAAACAACTAGCAAACCAGTGAACCAAATGTTCACCAAAACCTGATTTCTCGAAAACCGGAAGTGCTACGTTACTCAAATCCGGTTTGTAGCTTATCAGACTATTCTTAACTTATAACTTAAATATTCTCTTTATCTATCTCTTACGGTTTGGCTGCTGAAACAGCACCACAGACAGACGGGCTTGTCTAATAGATAAAAGATTCATGATAAGCTTAGATGAAAACAAAAAGGTAAGATACAGTTCGCTCATACTAGCATTATATAAAATATGCTCCAACTCAACTACATAAGCAACTCTTACACACGCACACGTCTATAAATAAACGTTTAATCGAGCGAGCGAGACAGAACTGTACGCTTCAACGCAGCGCGAGCGAAACGGCGAGTCCGAGTCTGAGTCCGCACGGCTGGTCGCTTCGAAGCGAGACCAATCATTTATCTATGGTGTACAAATAGAATTTTTGATAGGAAACTCAAATCAATCCATATATCGCACTAATATTACAACAGTGTCGTAACTCAAAAAATGTCGAATTTGAGATAACACCTTAATCAAACGCTGGATGCGATTCCGCACAAGGCCGTAAAACCGTCGTTGAAATAATGCAAAAAACAAATTAATAAGAGATGGCGTTATAAGTCAGTATAGATGACTGACCAACTGTCATACCCCCCCGCTTAATATTGCTTCTTCTTTAGTTGCGACCAACAGTGATCGAGGAGGGACGTGCCCCTTTGTGCAATATTTCGAGTTGTAGCAGTATTGCTGATTCAGGTATGGTAAATTTAAAGTATTATTTTGAGTTATTACGTTTTTGCTGATTTAAACTTTAATATGAAATGGGTGTATTTAGAGTTAATACACTCTTACGGATTAATACAAGCGATATTTCAAATAATATTTTTATTTACGACATTATTATTGGTTTAGTTATTCATTTTAGACATGATACAGTATTGTTGATGCATGACGATTGAACACCTTTTATTGTTTAAATTGTTAGTATTTAAAGAAAAGCCCAATTGTTTATCATAGTATTTATCACGGTGCATTGAAATATGTTATTGTTAAATTAGGAAAATGTTTACTAAATATTTTATCTTGTTAATTTAGAGTTACTACACTCTATGTGACACGTGTGCTTTGTATGTATTTTGCTAACAAGAACTTGATTAATTTGCAGAATCACTATGCATCGTGGGCGATTACTTATTGGTATTGCAATAAAAACGAGCGGCGAAAACCAGGACAAAGAAAATGACGAACCTGTTGAAGAATGTGCACATCCCTCAAATTTATTACCTTCATTGTTGTCAAAATCGGACAGAAATAATAATAACTATTTAATAAAAACTAGTTATAGTAATTTGTATCGGAAAAGACTGTTATTTTTTATTTTATAAGGACTTAAAAAATATTGTTAGTATCTAGAAAGATTGTTTTATTTTTGTTTGGTTTTGTTTTGGGATTTTTATTCTGTTGATTATTTGATTAAGTTTACATTTAATGCTTCAACTACTTTATAAGAATAATTAGTGATAATCATTGTGTGTCGGAAAAGACTGTTTTATTATGTTTCGTAAGGACTTACTAAGTTTAAAAATAAATAGATATTTATTTTTATACTTTTTATGTATCTAGGAACTGTTTTGTTTAAGAAACTTTATTTTGTAATCACTTATACAAAATATTTCACTATTTTGTATTATTTCAAACATTTTATGTTTTGTTCTAATTCAGTTTATTGCGAAATTATAATTGTTTCTTATAAAACTTTATTTGTTTTTATTTACTAATACCCTAACTCGGAGAAAATGTTCAAGTTATACGTAAATATAATACCAAAAACAATTCTTAGAATTGTTGTAACTCTAAAATGTATATTTAAACTATACCAAAAAAGCTATATTCAAATTGTAGTAACCCAAAATATTTCTAAAATAACTACACAACTAAAAATAATATTTCATTTTGAACAGTTTGTTCGATATTATACCGTATCAACTTAAAAAATGTGAATAACTTTAGTCCCCGTAATTTTTAAAATTATTGGTATATATATAATTTCTTTAAATTCTGTAATAAAACACATAAAGAATGATTTTTATTATAATCTATAATAAAAAGTGAATAATCAGTTTTTCCTTGATTCTGAAAAACAATCAATTTTGAGTTACAACACTGTTGTAATATTAGTGCGATATGTAAAGTTCTTCTGTGTACCTTATATTTTCTATAGATACGTAAGAAATAGTTAAAAACGGTCTTACTACAATAAAAAATGACACTGTTTCAAACCTCGTCTGGGCAAATTTTGTATAAGTAGTATTTTTTTTAAATTCGCGTTGAACGCATATCTACCTTTTTGTGGTAATAAGGTTGGAGTTGTGTCACGAAATGTAGTAACCCTACACTCGACTCAGTCAGTGCAACAGGGGTATCTGGGACAAAACGTTTCTTTATTTCATTAGAATGCATTCAGAAGCTTCCATTGTGTGTGAAAATACAGGTGCCCGTCCGACCTCCTTTCTAAACCATTGAGTTTCATCGAAGGAAAATAATGTGTAGGAGGCCTGAAAAAATGGACCGATTTTAACGGCTATCAGCTTTAGGTAACTTTACTATATCCTTTTTCGCTGTAAAAAGGCACCTAAGTAGTACTAGTACGTAACATATAAAAACTAGTTATATTGTTTTAAACTTTCATGGTCACTAACATTATAGCTATTATCGGGATTGTACCTTGTTTTTCATGAGTCTCCGATATTTCGGCACTGTTGCAAGCGCCATGATCACGGAGTAACTGAAGTAATTGCGGGTAGATGTTATTGGCAGACATATCGGTCTACCCTCTGACGTCGTCTTTTACTGCGCTCGATACCCGTACCACTGGTCACATTCTCTGTCACGACCGTTTTTCTCAGGAACACGTGGAGGTATCAATTTAAAATTCAAATCCAATACTCAGGTCTACTGTCCCTTGGAGCTGTAAAAAAAAAATTTTAAGCCAAAGCAATCAAAAGATTTATGCCGCAAATTTCCGCAAATTTTCTAAACTCGCACGGGAATCAACCCTGTAGGGTACTTTCCGTAAACTTAGAATCTTGTTTGGTACGAAGTAACGTCTTAAAACCGTAAATTTTAGTTACATCCACGGACCTTACATCATATATATTTTTTAATAATTATTAAAATTTACCTTAGTTTGTACGGAACCCTCCTCGGTGCACGAGTCCGACTCGCACTTGGCCGGTTTTTTTGTACTACAATTAAAAAAATCGATAAAATATTAATAAAATATAAATTTAAATGCGAATCTCGTGTAAATTGAAGTCTGTGAATCAGACCCTCCACGATGACAAAGAAGTAAAAAGTTTTTTTTTTATTTCTTTAATTGTAACTTTCTCAGTAGGTATAGTTATTTTTTTGTACAAAACCTGTTTTTTCGTTCCAAAGAAGGTAGCATACTATAAGATTCCGATAAATGATTTATTTCATAATATGTAACTCTGAAATATTCGCGTATTAACGCATCGCAATAACGCATCCGCTATTAACGAGCGATAATAAGACGCTTATGGGAAAGGGAAGGCTTACAGTAATAATTCTTTTTATTTGGTTATTATGTTACTTACAAAAGAGAGGTATTAATCTGCGGTCAAATAACGGTCTCTGCGACAGCACGTAGGTGGTTAAAGAACAAAAAAAGGGGACCACTAGCTAGGTTAAGGGTTAACATGACAAATGGTTAAAATTTGTGAATCTGATTCTTCACATTTACATTATTTTAATTACCTATTATAATAAAACAATTCAGTTTTAAATTAGACGTATCAAAACGCACACAAAACCAAAATGTTGCACGAAACGCAAACGTCACTATTGTCAATGTCAAAGTCGTAATTTTTAATACGCAAAATGTCATACAGTTTGTTTTCTGTAGAAAAAGAATCTATTATTCTCGATTTTTAGATATTCGAAGTGATATTTGTGTGCCTAAATCAATAAACAGAAATTAGCCTTACAAACACCGCAGTTCAGTTGCTAATACTATAAATACTTACGGACCAAAGCCACATACCTCCTGTTTCATTTCCTGGTGTTGATAAAGGAGCCTTTGTCTTAAAATGGATTATGTTACTACTTTAAAGATCCTCGTCATTGGTGAAAGCGGTGTTGGGAAATCCAGGTAAGATTATAGATAGATAGATAGATAGATAACACTTTATTGTGCACACCATATTAAATATTACACACTAGGACAAAACTTAAATAGTGAACAATTGGCGGTCTTATCGCTATATAGCAATTTCTGCCAGACAACCATAGGATGGAGAGATGAAATTTAATAAAAGAGGGGGTGTGCTCATATAACAAATAAAAATAATTACAATAAAAGATTCAGGATTAAACATACTCATAAATATCTACTATGCAAGTATACAAATATTAAATGAATGAGTAGAGAGACATAAACATACATACACACATACAGTTGGAACAACATCAACAACTACTTTGAAAGGAAAAAATCTTTAATCTGCTTTTTAAATAAACCAATCGTCTGGGCACGTCTGATGTTAACGGGGAGAGAGTTCCAGAGGCGCACAGCTTGAACACAAAAAGAATATTTATAAAAGGTAGTATTATGTGATGGAGTTTTAAGGCTCAAATTCTCTGATGAGCGTAGAGACTGAGAGTGGGAGCAGTGGAGAAAACTGAAAAGCTCTTTAAGATAATTGGGATAAGAGGGATTAAACAACACATTGTAAAGAAGGGAAAGTATATGAGTATCCCGGCGACGACGAATTGGAAGCCACTTGAGTTGAGAACGAAACTGGGAAACATGATCATATTTTCTTAAACCAAATATGAACCTGATGCAGAAGTTTTGAAGACGCTCAAGTTTATTTAGCTTGTCCTCGGTAAGATCTAGATAGCAGGCGTCAGCATAGTCAAGGACTATATTAGATTATATTGTAAGACTCAGTCCAAAATAATCCTATAAATTGCATCACACCTCGGATATCATCTTCATATAGGTGATTCACCTAATTACTCAGGTTGAATCATTTTGTTTTTAAAAACATCTGTTTTTTATCTATAAAAGTAATCCTTATACCCTTCCAGCATGCACCTAGCTGATTAAATATTAGATATGCCTATTGGAAACTAAGTTTTCCTGAATAGGCCTAGCTCTGGCGTGAATTTCTGAACTTTAAGTTCTATGATATATAATCAATATCGCATTCTCCATCTTTAAAGAGCATGATAAGGATAGTTTACTGTTAAATTAAGTATGAGGTTTTCTAGAAATGGGTCTTTTAGGTATATATTTTAAATAAATTAGTTCTGACATACTCAAAGAAATACAAGTAGAAAAAATATTTGTTTTGTAAACATGATAGAAGTGCAAGTGTTTGAAAGCAGTCAAAATTGAGGAGCAGGCGAACAAAACATTATCATTACATCAATTTAAATTTACCGGCGCATTAAAACATTAATGACATACCTACAGTGAGTTTTGGGTGTGGTTTTTAATTTATTAATCTTAACATTGTTTTAGGCGTATTGATTGAAAATTACTTGAGATTCCAATTCACAGGGCCCAAACCCTCTGGATTGTAAAAATAATGTATTGTGACTAATTCGGTAATTATACCGTTTTCTTCGCCAGCTCCTCAATTATCATAATAAACGCAAACATGAAAATAAAACTTATTGTTTGATTGAGAAATAAAAAAAAATGTTCCTCTGTATGTGATACTGTTGTTATCAAATTCAGAGATTTTGGTATTTTTCATTGAACTTATTAACATTTCAACTGAACTCTTAGCCACCTGTGACTTTGTCTGCATAACTTTAGTTTTTTGAGAATCCCTCGTTCATCTTTCACTCATTTTGAGTATCCAATGTCTCAATCCAGGTAATATACTATATGTATGTTGAGTTTCAACCAAATCCATTCAGCCGTTTTTGTATGATTGAGTAACAAACTTACAAACTTACGCTTTTGTAATTTTAGTAGAATGTACACAGACATGATGTCATTTCTATGCAATGACAGATAAATAATTTGAGATGGCTATAATTCTATAGATAACCTAAGTTGAGGGGTTATAATCACACATCACAACAACATAAACAGGATCCATATTCCAATTAAGTTTATATAAATATTTTTTCTCATCATGTGTATTATAATCTAATATATAAAATTCTCGTGTCGCAGTGTTTGTGGTTAAACTCCTCTGAAATGGCTTTCCCGATTCTCAAAAAATTTTGTGTGCATATTGGGTAGGTCTGAGAGAATCGGACAATATCTATTTTTCATCCCCCTAAATGTTAAGGGTAATCCACCCCTAAATGTTTTTTAATTTTAGATAAATTTTTTTTTAAATTTTTTTATGATACATCATACAAAAATACATGCAACCCTAAATTTTCACCCTTCTACCACCAACCCCTATTTTTTTATGGCGGTACGAAGTTCGCTGGGACAGCTAGTATATATGTATAATTCATCTTTGCCTAAATGGCTTAAAATATTTTGATGAAAAAATTGCTGTTGATATGAGTAGGTTTAAACCATCCAGCCCCTCTAGCATGACCACCGAAACGGGATATGATAAAGCGATATATCGAAATTAACTGTCAGACTACTGTCAAACTCCATAGCAGTCTGACAGTTAATGTCGATATATCGCTTTATCATATCCCGTTTCGGTGGTCATGTTATAGGGGCTGGTTTAAGTTCACATGTTATATGTAACATGTTCACATGTTTTATGTTGTTATGTGTATTACTAAAGCTGATAATTAAACATGAAGATTATAAATTTTCACATAATTCTTAACATTTCAGTGCCCTTAGCACAAGCCATTATCAAATTCAAATACTTGAATTTTATATGTCAAATGTGTACTAATTCTTAGTTCTTGTTCCGGCTACTGTGGCAAAATATGACATTGTCATTTCGCACATGCAAACTATTTGAATTTGATATTAGTTCCTGATAAGGGTACTGATCCTTTTACATATAATCCTGTAATAGAGGGTTAAACATTGTGTATTAATATTAATTACAAGTTTGTGTTCATGACTTTTAATAGTACCAATTATAAGTTGAGGAGCTCTTTGGCACAAGCGTTTAGTGCGTTCGGCTGCAATTGTTGAAGTCAATCACTTTCGCAGTGGTCGATCATTGGATGTGTGACCAAATATTTACTATCTCGAGCTCTTCCATGCTTCAGAAGGCACGTTAAGCCGCTAGTTAAGCACGGTTGCATCGCTGCAGTCGTTAGCATCCACCAAACCATGGAGTCCGCGTGGTAGGTCATGTTCATAGCCCAATTTCCGTATTCCATCCATAGGGAAGGCCTGTGCCCCAACAGTGAGGACATAAAGAAGCTGGTGATGATGATAATGAATAGTGTTATTAAATACCTGTTTGGTTTTAGTATCATACTTGCGTTCACTACGGGAGACTATAACTCCTCATTCCCTGCCACAATCGGAGTTGACTACAAATGCAAGATTATGGAAGTTAATGGTGTCAAAGTGAAACTTGGTATCTGGGATACTGCGGGTCAGGAGAGGTATAGGACACTGACCTCCAGTTTTTACAGGTAAGGATCATGATGTTTACAGAGAGTTCAAGTCAGAAAATAATGAAAATTGGTTTAAACCTCTTCAACTCTGTTGTAAAACTGCGGACTGAAAATAGTCATGGTTTAAACCTCTTTCTTTTTCTCCATTAGCTATGGTTAGAGCTGGTGTCAGTAATTTTTATATGATTTTATTGTCTGACAGAAGTTAGTAACATTAAAGTACTAAGTAAGATAATAATTTTAAACAATTTCTGCCATTCATTTATTGCTGCAATATCAAATAGGAGCTTGTGAAAAATGTTAATAAAAATAAGTGCCCAAAAAGGATATTATCGCTTCTGTCGATAGTCATAATATTTGTCTGTATTGTCGATTGTATTTAATATTTAGAAAAAGGTCAGAAGATTTTCCTGTTGTGCTTTTAGAGTTTTTTTTTCAAACAATTATGATATATAAAAAAAATCAATTACTTCATCGGCAGGCAGACTAGAATAAAATTATTGAAATTATATTATAAGAAATAAAAATAATAGTGCTGCCACTATGATGATGTTAATTAATGTTCTGTATTGTTGAAAAAAAAATTGTTTCTGCCTTTTAGTCGGGATGAGATTAGTACTAGCACTACTCGCTTGCGGAGACAATACTGAGCAAAACAGCACATGTGCGTGTTACAGACAAGCGAGCATCGCTGTGCTAGTATTATCTTTAGTAGTTCTTGTAGCTCAGCGACGAACTAGTGTAGCTAGTTATCACGGGCAGTGTGAAAAGTCAGCGATCAACTATTATTGCATGTATACATGCTCCTTTGTTTATACGGAATGTATATCTGCACCTTTCGCCCGAACCATTATCGAATTCGAGAATAGTTTGCAAGTCCGAAATGTCATTGTCAAACTTGAACAGCACCTCTAAAACGTACGTAACAAGATCTATAAATCGGTACATTTTTGACAATGACTTTTCGAACTCGCAAACTATTCGAATTCGATATTGGTTCGTGCTGTGGGTCCTGTTGTAAGGATAATGAAGTGTCTTGATCGAGAAAATAGTCGATAGTTAGTCGCTTCCTCGCCAGCGATGGGTCAGCTGCCCTAGTTCTACGTCAAAAACTTATAATGCGATTCAACTAAGAATAGGACCGACTGGGCGCATATTTTGACGTCATAGCTGTCAATTCAAACCAAATAGGTAGAGTGAGCAAAAAAAAGTTTCTATTTAATAAAACTTATTTACTCAGATTAAGTGAGAAAAAACAACAGATATTTTAATAAAATTAATTTACTAAGATTGAGAGAAAAAACAACCGATTTTTAATAATATTTCTTTACTAAGACTGTGTGAGAAAAAACATTAATCAGAATCTAGCTCTTCAATTGCGCTCATCTCTGCATTACCGCCGGAGTAGTTATGAATAATCATGCAGGTCACATACGAACATGCATCCTATATGTAAACGAAAGTATTAAATCGAGTTTCTGAATGCAACATAAAGTGACATTTGGTTGACGATCTAGGTTATCAACCATTCATAGCAAAAGGTAAATAAATGAAAAAAAATATCAACCAATATTAATTATCAATATTTATTATTGTTTGTTTAAAAATGTTTGATTTTTATTCTAGAATTAGCCGAGTGCTAAAAAAGTGTTCCGAGATTTTTTTGCAAACTGTACTTTTCAAGCGACATTTTACAAATGGAGGTCATTGGCTTTCCTATTCTTATTTGAATCGCATTATATACTGTCGTCATTCGCAGGGATGCACACGGAGCAATATTAGTATATGACATATCAGAACCTAAAACCCTGGAGAAGCTGAAGGAGTGGGTGGACGAGCTGCAAGTTTACTCGACAAAGAAAAACATCGTATGCTTAGTGGTCGGGAACAAACTTGACAAGGTAACTGAAATAAACAAGGTAGTAAAACTTTTCTTTAGATATTTGTTTCTTAGGTTTTCACGCACATCACTCATTAAATAAAACTAGTTTTAACGGGTTAATGCACGAAACTTTTATTTATTTATTGACGTTTCGCAGCCTTTTCAGATCTGCTTCGTCAGCATGATTTTTTATTTAATTTTGTCGAGCTACCTTCGAAAGACTTTTATTGAGCGTTAGGATATTTCATTGTTAGATTTTTAAAGTTTTATTGTCTATGTATGAATTTATTACTTAATTTAGTTAATAAATTACCTACTTTATTTAAAAATCTTTTTTGTAATTATGAGTTTATTTATTTGACCCTAACTACCATAAACTACCACCGGTTCCAAAAATGGGAGACCTTTCTGAGAAGAACCGGCGAAACAAACTCAAGAGAGGCTTTCTATCTCCTTCTTGTGTTAAAGCCTCTCTTGAGTTTGTGTCGCCGGTTCTTCATTCGTTCGAAGGTAGCTCGACAAAATTAAATAAAAAATCCGTTTTACTTAGATGACAATTTACTTTACAAACAGACTGTTTAAAAAAACCTAACCCAAGCTAGAATTTTTGGATTTACTCTAGCGCGACAGAATAACATAAGGGGGCACCCTTGCGCCTTGTGAAGTACCTTAATACCAGAGTCCCCTATGTAGGGTCGAACTAATTAACTAAATTAATTTCCTTGTTTCATTAATGTTCGTTCGTTATAGTACTTGTACAATTTTAACTTAAAATAACTAAAGACCTCCGGGATGGAATTTGATGGACTTTCGCACAGATGATCATGAGACTATAGCTTTCAAACAAATTTAGTGTAAGATATGGCGGACGTGGGTGCAGCGTCTATACATTTTTCCCCATTGTCCTTTGTCGGATAGCCTAGGCCGTATACAGAAAGAAAGCCGAAAGCCGATCGGAGCTGATCGGCGCCTATCGATGAGCGCCGATAAGCGCCGATAAGCGCCGACACGCGCTGGTCCGAATAATAAATAATTTGTATTTGAATTATTATCCGTAGATTAAATCAATCTAAGTTATAATCTTTTTATAAATCTAATAATAACTTTATCTTTTATTAACTAAGCGCTAAAATTATTTGTTTCGTACTTACCGAATGGTGACAACAAGTCTTTCTTCTGGAAGGATTGGTTGTTTATGCCAATTGCCCCAATTTTTCATCAAACGGTTTTTCACTAAATCCAAAATGTAATAAAATGTTTCTTGAATCATTCTTGTATATGTATAAAATCTTTGTTCATCAAATTTTTTTTTTACAAATAAATGATGGTATTCTCCGAAACGTTTCCTTTCTCTATTTATAGGATGTATAACTGTTTTTCGCATTTTTAAATAAACATTTTCTAACAAAACCATATCATCGTCCGATGAGTCCGACATTTTGCTTGATCTGCTTTAATCGGCTACCTTTATGTAGGAAGGATCGGCGCCGACAGGCGCCGATCGGCTTTCGGCTTTCTTTCTGTATACGGCCCTATTGTTGATCCATCTGTATTTAATTATTACTAATACTACAAATAAACTGATCATTGAAATTGACAATCTCCGTTGATATCCGTGTCCGAGTGGATTGTACGCCCGGTTTCGAGGTGTCGCCTACTCGAGAGGTTCCGGGTTCGAATCCCGGCAGGGGCAGATGTTTGTGTGATGAATACGAGCATTTGTACTCCAGTGATGGATGTTATATATATATATATATATATTTAAATATATATTTCTATGTAAATGTACTTATATATAAATAAATGTTATGTATTCTATCCGTTACCCTAGTATCCCATATCACAAGCCTAATGTCCTTACTTTGGGGTTAGGCTATTTGATGAAGTGTTAGAAATATTTAGTAAATAGTAATATTTAATATTTACTTGTAGTATTCATAATAAATATTTACTTGTAGTTTTCATAGGTCTTTCGAGGCTTCGTTATTGCTCAGTGAATTGATGAATGAGTTCGCGTTATATATCCCAATTCCCTCGATCCCAAGAACAATTTATATTGATTGGCCTATTTTCATAAATAAGCAATGATAAAATTAATGTATAAAGTTTGGTTACAAATGAAATAGGCAGCCATTGAAAATAGTACGTTTTTCAAAATTCGTTTTGGGCAGTGCTTCTAGCTTACAGCAACATTTGCAATACATTATGCTGAAATGACAGTGATAAATTGATATGTAAACAAAATGAGTCTTCAATACTCACATTAGTCAATTGGATAAGATTGAAGTCGCTATATCGCCTTGATCCATCTTACCACATTCAAAATGTTCAAAGTCTCATAGTCATTTTTTTTTAAAAGCTGAGTTGCTCGCTGGTGTTGTATATAATTCACAATTATTAGTATCTCTTATCTAATAGACAAGTCCGTCCGTCCGTCCGTGGTGCTGTTTCAGCGGCCAAACCGTAAGAGATAGATAAAGAGAATGTTTAAGTTATAAGTTGAGAATAGTCTGATAAGACTACAAACCGGATGTGAGTAACGTAGCACATCCGGTTTTCGAGAAATCACGTGATTTCTATTTCAAACGAAACCACTCAAAATCTCCGAAGTTCTCAATTAATTTAATACATTTTTTTTTTGGTGAACATTTGGTTCACTGGTTTGCTAGTCTTTTATCTATTAGACGACGTCCGTCTGTCCGTGGTGCTGTTTCAGCGGCCAAACCGTAAGAGATAGATAAAGATAATATTTAAGTTATAAGTTAAGAATACTCTGATAAGACTACAAACCGGATTTGAGTAACGAAACCACACAAAATCTCCGAAGTTCTCAATTAATTAAATACATTTTTTTTTAAATCAGGTTTTGGTGAACATTTGGTTCACTGGTTTGCTAGTATTTATTAATAGCCCAAGAGCTACTGAACCCTCCGAGTAACGGTCTGTCTGTAAGGCTACAAATTCTTATGGTGATGAGCCATAGCATGCTTAGTACGGTAAGCATCGTCTGGCACTCCTCAGCCCTGCACGTCATCAAGCCGTATTTTTGAAAGTGTCAAAAAAATATAAAAAAAAAACTTGTTGCTGTAAGCCTGAAATTTTTATACAATGTAGTTTATTCATTTATAAGTTTAAAAAAAATTGTCAGACGTTTACGATGAGCACAAGTACCTGCCAGGCGAACCGGAAGGTGTGTAATATATAGGTACCTACATAAAAATAAACTTTATTCTGTAAAGTTGAAATTTATATATGTGTTTGTTTAAGCGATTTAAAGTAAGTAGGTAGAATGCCAGGCGGTTCTGGCTAGCACAAGTCCTTGCCAGGCGAGGAGAAAGATGCTGCGGCAGTGCGGTGGACGACGTGATAGACAGGGAGGGGACGGAGATAGTCATAATATTAATCAAATGATATTAAAAGCACAAAGTTAAAAAGTAAATATATTTATTAGATAAATGCTTTTAAATATACTTTTTAATATATATAATGAACACTTTACAACAAAATAATACTAATGAGGCGATTTTTTTTTAAATACAATCCTAGTATATAATAATCATGTTAATTGACATAATATTTTATTTTTATTTTATTTTTATTGATTTATTTATTAATTTTAATTATTGACAAATTTAATTTAATTTTATAAATGTATTTCTATTTCTATTATATTTCTACTGTTAATAAGATCAATTGAGTAAGTTATATTGTTAAACAAATGGAATCAGATGACATTTATGCATAATTTAACATTTATGTGGTTTAATACAAATTAGGTTCCTTATATACTTTTTTAATTTTTATTTTTAACTGTACTGTATATTGCGATACCCTGACAGGGTTCATGTTAGGTACTATGAGCATTTTGTAACCATCGATGTAACCACATGATTGCAATAAATTGAATTGAATTGAATCTTTCGTCTTCACCCATACACTTTTTCGATTATATAGTTAGGTTATATAGTTCCCCTTTTCTGGCATAATTGAACTTTTTCCACTCTTCCAAGTCATTTGAAGTAATTATTAATTTGGTGCTGGTACGTTTGGATGCTTCGAATCATCCTATTCGGAGCAACCGTGTTATGAAAGAAAACAGTCAGTTATCTTGTCATCCTTAACCTTCTTGATTTGTAACTAACATGTTTAACTGCCGTACTTATAGACAAGTAAAAGTGTTTACTTCTGCTTAAGTAATTACTTGAGCAACATTATTTGTTTAATAGTTAATATTTTACCAAAGTATGAACTCTCAATAATAAGAATTCTTAGCCAAGTTGGTAATAGAAATTATTTTCGTTGCTTAATAATTATTTTGTTGAAGAAGAGGGATGAAACTAACTTATTTCTGTTTTCTTTATCTATCAGGTAGGTTATCAAAAAGTATTGGACACGTATTTTTTGTTAAGTCACATAAAACATTATAGAGATATATTGTTTTAAAGCATCGCGTGACGGCACATTTTTTCCTAAAAAGTGACGTCACAAGCCCCCGCTCCCAAACTTTGACGCGCTTTACCTTTGTGATTTTTTGGTTGATTGGTGAAACAAAAATAAGTGTTCATTATATTTTGATAATCTAACTGACGGACTAAATGGAATTTCATTTACTTTACCCAGTCATCATCCCTGCTCTAGTGTCAATTAGCAACAAAGTAATTACTAAGCAACAATTAATTACTTGTTTATAAATACGAGTAATGGTCTGCCATTCAAACGGTGGGCAGACGACATTGTAAGCATAGCCGAGAAGAACTGGACCCAAAAAGCCAACATCAGGGACGCGTGGAAGGAAATGGAGGAGGCCTTCACCCTTTCAGGGGACCATAATTATTAGTGTAGCGGCGACATCTATATGCCCCACATATAGACAACGGATGGAGGAAATCATTACTCACCATCCTCAAGAGATGGCGTTACCTGCACTGCAATCATAATAGTATGGAAGCCTACATCGCGCAAATGAAATTCGGAGGCTAACTCTTCATATATACGATGCCCGACCAACATCAGTCGGGCCGCGGCCCCCGAGCTACCATCACCCAGCAAATCCAAATCAGCACAATGCAGGTTACTCGCAACAGTAGTATTTACATAATATATTTATTAGCTGAAAACCGAACTGTTGCGGGTTGAATAAAATGTTGGTTTGATTCGTTACATCAGTACCTTGTGACATTTTGGGATGCTCCGATTGTTACTCTTGATGTATCAGAAGTAACTCCATCCGTTGTCTATATGTGGGGCATATAGATGTCGCCGCCACAATTAGTATATAAGATTAAAAAAAAGTTTATGTTAGTTTAGTTATGGTAAATAAAAGACTTTTTATTTTTATTTATTTATAAATACGAGTAATATGTTTTATAGCCGCGCGCGGTACCCCGGGAACAAGGTCAGGCGTTCGCGCAAAAACACAGAATGCTGTTTATAGAGAGCAGCGCCAAAACACAAGAGGGGATCAATTTGGCATTCGAAGAACTCGTGCAAAAGGTGAGTGGGCAAAAAGATTTCTGATATGAGAGAGAGAGAACCATTTGATATAATCTTATATATCCTTGATTGAACTTTGATTGTTCACAATGCTGATTTTAAGATTTTAGCCCAAGGTCCCAAGCTGATCGAGTAGTATTAGTGTGTATAATGAAATGAAATGAAAAGTCATTTATTCAGTCCAGGCTGTTACAAGCACTTGTGAAGGTCAAAAAGCTACGCCATCGGTTCTCTAAACTATGGCGGGAGACCTTTTACTGAGAAGAACCGGCAAGAAACTCGGCAAGGGCTGATTTTTTCGCCCTGTATTGATATTTACAGAGTCGTCAAGTTGAAAAATGACTTCAGGGATACTTCTGAAGTCACCTTCCATTACATCATTTATGATTATTAATGAACATATACATACTCGCTAAGTTGTGCTCTATGGGCCAATTCTCAGATACGCATGCTTTAGAGAGTATTGTCAAAATTTTGGAATCAATACTGCCAGACATATTTCGGAAATATTTATGGCCAGGCACTTAAATGTCGAAAGCAAAAAAAAATCACAGAGTCGTGCTCTACACGACCTGAAAGGCCATTAATAATGAACCTACTTATTATAGATTATAAAAAAACAACAATACCGACTTTTCCAAAAGAATTTTTCATCATCTTAAAGCCCTTAGAATTCCGCGTCTTTTGAGCTCTCATACGTCCTCGTGGCCGCACAGAACTCGCGGCTAAGGGCACCTCTGCAGCCTCAACCGTCACCAATATCGAAAAAAATAAATTGACCGAGTTGCTTTTTTTCTTATTTTAAAATTCGGCCCTTTTATCGAGATATCGGAAATTTTCTGTGTAAACACACGGTTTACGGTCGAAAAAAGTAGTTTTTTTTTTTTAGATTTCCAAAAAAGTTGCGAGCTGGAGCGAATGAAAAAACGTTTTAAATTTTTACACAAACTTACAATCTGGAAAACAATTGTCCCACAGTACAAGTTAGCCAAGATGTATACGTTCATTGTACACACTACTCGATATTTTGTCAATCTGAAAATAAGTAAGGCCTGGCGGATCTGAGATCTTAATCTGTTTGTATTTGTTTCTTAGGTTTTCACGCACATCACTCATTAAATAAAACTAGTTTTAACGGGTTAATGCACGAACTTTGTTGATTTAACATAAGAAGGAGATAGAAAGCCTATCTAAGTTTATTTCACCGGTTCTTCTCAGAAAGGTCTCCCAATTTTGGAACCGGTGGTAGTTTACGGTAGTTAGGGTCAAAAAAATAAACTCAAAATTACAAAAAAGTATTTCAAATAAAGTACTTTATTAACTAAATTAAGTAATTAATTCATACATAGACAATAAAGTTTTAAAAATCTTCCAATGAAATATCCGAACGCTCAATAAAAGTATTTCGAAGGTAGCTCGACAAAATAAATTAAAAAATCATTATTCTCACGATGCAGACCTGAAAAGGCTGCGAAACGTCAATAAATAAATAAAGTTCGTGCATTAACCCATTAAAACTAGTTTTATTTAATCTGTTTATGTTTGATATTTCAAACGAAAAATGATTTAGTTGTATCGAGGCCATTTCCACTCAGGACATGACTTGAGAAATGAGAGGTGTGGCCACTATTACTATAAAAAAAACCTTTCAAGAAAAATAAGTTGCAAAAATTGCAATAGCTATTTCCGATTTTCATAGTACTAGATATTCAGCTACACCAGGTAATATCAAATCCTTTAATATTTTTGGAGTTTACTCCTTAAGAATCGATTTGCATATATAAGGGGCCCGGTTTGGGAAAAATGTGAGGAGTAAAATCTATCGATGAATGACCTCGTTCATCGCATCCTATGTCGCGCAACTTTGACAAACAAAGATGACGCATTGACATTGCGTCTGGTTATACTATCGAACTTAAGGAGTAAACTCCAGTCGTGCGCCGGAGCTGACACACACAATTTTTTCTTAACAAAAATTGACACTTTGACTTCACAAATTACGGTTTCGTATTTCCCTGTAATTCAATTTTGAATTGAAACTGTTTCTGATTTCTCGTTAACGGTATCACGAGTCGACGCGGCTGTCTGTGACATCGGCAAGTTGCGTTCACTTCATAATATTTTTCCTTAGATCATCGAGACACCGGGCCTGTGGGAGACAGGCGGTGCCTCCTCCAACATTCGCATATCGAACGAGGAGCGAAGACAGCAAGAGTCGAGCTGTTACGATTACACTTGTAGCATTTAAATCCTCTTTTGCACTGTATCGGTTGGCTTAGCATCGTTAATAGTGATTTTTGAAGCAATGGCGGCACTAGACCACATTTGAACGTCGGCGACATCAAGTTCGTGAGGCCTATTTTACTTCGCAGTTAAAAACCGTTAAATTAAGTGAGCCAAATTATAAAATAACGTATGAGTAAACGAGTTTTATTGTTGATAATCAAATGATGACAAAAAATAATTACATACATAGAAATTTAATTAAAAAAAAAATGGATGCGTGTAACTTATGTACGCGCGTGAGAAGTTATACTTCTTTAGCATCATTAAAAATATTTTTTAATTGCATGCAAATAATTAATAATTACAATAAAATAATAAAAGGACTGGAAAAGGATAGTTAACACAGTCAATTAAGTTCAGTTTTAATTTGAAAAATTAAATAAATATTCAAAATATTCAATTAAAATCACTACTGAATTTAAGTTATTAGTCCATATGTAATTAGCACTTGTAAGTAACTAAAACACGTTGTGTCTATATAGAAACTAGAAACATGTGGATAAATATTATAAATATGAAAACAATGATCAGAGGCGACGAGCGTGCCAACATTGTTTTTGACAACGCGATCATCTTATGGAGCTCCGTGGATCGTTCAAAGTACCTTTCGAACAGATGTCTAATAATGGTGGATTATTAACCACTAAGTGGTTAATAATCCACCATTATTAGACACTAACATTCATAACGCGCCCGCGGCCAACTTCATGGTGTTACTATTGTGTTACAGTGATGCGCGCGCAGCTCGAAAGGACATTGTTCTGCGTCCATACATAGTTGGCCTAAGAACCAACAATCATGAAATATTATTTTCTAGGTTCAAAATCGCAAGTTAATGACTGCAAAAACAAGGATTATTGACGGACACTTCTGAGAACTTAAATTATTAGGAAAACAAAAAAAAAATTGAGGTTATGTTTCATATTCAATGAAGCATAGGTCAACCTTTGAACTTAGTACCTATGAACTCAGTATGAAGTGAATTAATATTACAACTAATTCATTATATTAGGAGCGATTTTAAAGAATAACTATTAGGAAAAACTTGGTTAGGTAGGAAGCATGAATATAATAAAAATTGTAGTTTTGCTTCTTATTTATTGACTATTTTCACATAATTTTATCATATTGTATTTATTTGTATATCACATGTATTTGTATATTGTGTAAATATGCAGCGTCAATGTGTATCAGGTGCTCTTGAATAATTTGGCAGTATGATCCTCTCAGGATGTAGTGGCACAGATTCACTAGTACTTGGTAATAAGGTCTCTGCTCTTTCGTAACATCGATGGCATAATAGATAGCCGTAATAGATAAATTAAAGGAAAAACAATCGCAAATAAACACACACAACAGGTAATCCGAAACGAGAATGCACGAATGCCACAGATTACTACGAATGCAAACTGCCTGCACCACAACCACAGATTATCGAGTTTTATGCCGGCCCTTCACTTGACAACAGTTTGTCCTTGTCATGCTTAATAAGAAATGAAAAGGACAGACTGATGTCATGTTTTCAAATATCAAATACGAATAGCCAAGTGAAGTGCCGGCATTAGGAAGAAAGAGTGTTTTGTTTGCAGCGCTGTCATAGATCATACACATAAAATGATATTTATTATCTCAGATTATTTTTTAACTTTTTAATTTAGCTTACTTAACTGGAAGTGTCCGTGACAATCTAAATACTGATAATTATCGCAAAAAATATACTAAGAATTATCATAAATGCCTAATTGGTGTTGGTTCTTAGGCCAATTTTAACATTGTCCTTTCACTCACATGATTTTTTCATAACGCGCCCGCGGCCAACTTCATGCTGTTACTTTTGGGTTACAGTGATGCGCGCGCATCTAAAAATTTCACTCTCATCATTTTTTCATAACGCGCCTAAAGAAGTATAACTTCAATAGTGTGACAGAAACTACTTAGCTTTCTCCCCGAATTGTTCGGGGTCGGCTGCCTAAGCCAGGACAGGAGAAACGAAAATAAATAGGTAACTTGTAAAAAATTTTTGCGAGGCCCCCTCAGGCGTGAGGCCGTCGGCGATGGCCGACGTCGCCGACGCCTAGCGCCGCCACTGTTTTGAAGTGTTTATAAAATTGTCTTTATCGGTGTTATTTTCATAATTTGTTTTTCTCTTGGTGTACGGGTTTAGCCGCACATTAAACTCACGCATCAGCAATATGAGCCGCTGCGCGACTTATTACTTTATAATTTATTAATTTAATTGTTTCGCAATAATAACATATTGCGTCTATAAATTAGTGTCTATCCGGTAGCCTTACCAACCGCGCGTACTCATTCTTACCTTTTCACCATACGTAAACCATTCTTTCACCATACTTTAACTTTAGTTTTCCTGTTTATAGACTTTGTTATAGTAGTGTAAATTATCTCAATAAACTCTCAGTAATTGTTTCCAGTGACTTTCTATTTACCAATCTCTTCTCTAAAGGTGTATAACCCGTACACTTGGAATTGAGACAGTTCTGTTGTATCGAATAGTTTTTACGACAGCTTATGACTAAGAATAGGGATAATGACAAACCATTTTTTTGTAGTAGATTATCAGAAAATATTGGACACGTAGTTTTTCTTTAATCACAACATTACAAAGATATATTGGTTAGAAATGAAATGCATGACGTCACGTCTTAGTACAATTTTTACTTAGCAGTGACATCACAAGTCCCGCTCCCAAACTTTGATGCGTTTCATATTTGTTATTTTTTTTTTGTTGATTGATTGGCAAAAAAACGTGTCCATATTTTTTTATCCATAGAGGTATAAGAATAGAGTGGGGAAGGCGGCTCTAAAAGTGTCCGTCTAGTAGAAAGAGAAAGAAGATGAGAGACCGCTAGCTATCTCTCTCTCTTCTGACGCACGGCATCCAATATGCTTACGGTTGCCAATGCGCATGCGAGATTAGAGAGAGTAAGCTAGAAGTCTCTGATCTTCTTTCTCTTTCTATTAGAGGGACAGTTCCACTTGTAGCAGAGTCTATATCTCTCCTTCTCTATTCTTATACCTCTATGCGTTTATCCCGTCATCACCCCTATTATACAGAGTACACATGAGCGTCTCAGGACGCCAAAGGTATATCCCTAAGGCATTCTTTAAGCACTTCAATACGTCTCATAAGACACAATTTGTGAAAGGACGAAAGTTGCAAAACTTCAATAACTCAGTGAAAACTCGTTTCGGGGTCCTGAAAACTTTTTCGAGATTGGGGCATTCACGGTTTTGACCTTGACACTTGGTTAATATTAAGTTTTCAAGTTTCACAAGTTTTTTTATTATTCTGGGTCCAGGAAGAGAATAACCTTGATCATTTGGCTTCGGGAGACAATATGAAAGTATCGTGTTTAGCTGGATTTAAGCATACTTTAGGATGGAAATCAAACAGTAGATATAAGAATTAGTCCTATTTTCATATTGTATTGTCTTGGTTCGGTAATTGTAATTTTCGTCTTTACATTCGTTCTATGCTTTCGAAATATACTCAAGTAATATTTGGTGGTATTTTTTGTTTATATTAAAATAAATCCAATTCAATATTTTCATTAGTGCGGTAATCACCATTTTGTATGTGATTGCCTTGAGAATTCAAAATAGCTGAATTATGCTGCTTATTTATTAATTTCATCATCTTTTAAGTGAATTCGTTTACAGCAAACATAGAGCAATATCTTAAAAGTGGTGCAGCTAAACGCAATGGTGATAATTTATAGGAAAATATAATAATAAGTGCTAGTAAAATGAAATGATATTAATAAGTACAATGAACCATGACGCACAGAATTAAGCAAAATTTGAATGTAAGCCAACCTATATAAGAAGCTGATTAATGTGATATTTTATTGTGTGGTTTGCTTTTGTAAATATCTTCCAATATTTGACGAAAGCGATAATATTTTGTGTATAATTGTAAAATAATGTGTTGATCATACATATAATATATTTAGTGAATTCTTTTCTCGTGTTTTATTGATATGCCAATTACATAATTTTGATTTAAATCGGACGAATCCAGGTAAGCCTTCTTACACCTCACAAATAATAAAATTCAATCTTTATATATATAATTCTTCTGTGAGTGTGTATGTCACTGAACTTCTCTTAAACGACTGGACCGATTTTGATGAAATTTTTTGTGTGTGTTCAAGGGGATCTGAGAATGGTTTAGATTCACAATTTTGTCCGCTGGACAACCCCTATTTTTTTAGGGCGGTACGAAGTTCGCTGGGTCAGCTAGTCTTTATATAAAACTCAAAGGTGACTGACTGACATAGTGATCTATCAACGCACAGCCCAAACCACTGGACGGATCGGGCTGAAATTTGGCATGCAGATAGATGTTATGACGTAGGCATCCGCTAAGAAAGGATTTTGATCAATTCTACCCCCAAGGGGATAAAATATCGAAGCGAAGCGAGGGCGGGCGGACTAGTACTAAATAAATTACATTATAGTAGCTTAGAACTTGGAGTCATAGAGCAACACAGCCGACGCGGCTAGGAGGGGAGTAGCCATAATGACATAATACTACTGAAATCATCATTCATCCGTTAAAATGAAATTGTAATTACAACACACACATATAAAAATGGTAGTGCTAAATCGAGCATGGTTCATCCATGGATGGATGAAACTTAAGATTTTTTATTGACAGATCTGAAATTTGTACTGGCGAGTCGATTGTTTTGTCAAACAAGTCCGAGGATTGAATTTCAACAATATAATATAAATTTTGTGTTGAAAAGTGGTTAAATAGAATTAATATGTGTTTTTATTTTTTTAAGCATTTAACTGCTATAGATGTTTAAATCTAAAGAAAAGTTTTACTAGAAATTTCGTGTTCGAGTCCCGTCCGCTGCCTGGTCCGCGTGATCTTTTGTTTTATTTTCTAGTACAACTTTTCATTAGAAATAATATGTTAATTCAATTCAATTCAATTCAAATTCATTTATTTGGGACAACTCAGATCCAACATGTTAGTATACAAATTATGATTAAAACTAGGTTAGTAATTATGATTTTATGATTGATTTTATTATTATGATTAATTAATTAATTATTCATGCACCGCAAAGGCACTGCCTGC